ATTTTAAACTAAAAACACAATATATTTCACCAAAAAAAGGTCAAATTATAATGGGGAGAGTGAAAAGTGAAAATTCCCCTTTCACACTTCTTTCGTGACTCCAATTCCACTCTGTCTCCCAGAGATAACTGCTGAGGACATTTCAGTTTTGTGTGTTTTCTTCTTTCAGGTTTTTTCTACTCAAGGTCTATGCGTCAATGCGTGTGAGTGTTTGTATTTGTTTTCTGTATTTGAATATGATTCAATCAGACTGCACGTGTTATCTTGCAACCCACAGAATTCATTTTTGAGGGAACAAATATGCTATAACGGAGTTTTCCAAGGGATTTATTTTCACACGTGTGCTTTCTTTTTGTTAAGTTCACATTTAGAAGCTTTCTACTCTAGGACCAACAACGTGCCACCAGCTACTTCTGTCCTCGGATTTAAGCATACTACATAACAAGAAGAGTTTCTGAAATACAGACTATCTTTCCCACAGAGCAGTTTCTTACCTCTTTGATTTTGAGGCATTTTCATTGCATGAATACTACTTTTCATGTTTCAAGCAAATGTGCATGTTTCACCTTTCCGTTTCAACTATTTCCCAATGGTCTTCAATTAAGAAAAAATGACGGTGGAAGGATAAAGCTCTGATGTCCACAGTCATCAACAACTTATTGGTAACAAAGATTGTGATGGCTCTAATAAACCTTTACTGTCTCAAAATTGTAAGACTTATCCCAAGCTTGGAAAGGGGAAAATTAGAAAAACATGAAAATGCATGGAAACTTTTCTCCTTGGAAATCTCTTTGTGCTTGGTATTCTTGAATAACATGTATTCTCAGACTCTTGAGTCAACTTTGGAAAAGCTAATAACTCTATAGAGAGATTTCTTGGGTCAAAATTGCCAGATTTCTTGAATATCAGGCATCTTTCGAAATGGAGAATTTTGGTTCTTTAATCCTGGAAGAAAATGCATTTCCTTCTTCTTTGTAGATGCATACGATGTCGAAAGGCATTTCCAGGGCTCACTATCTTGAGAAGGAAAAACAATTCTCTTTTTAAACAATAGTCCAAATAAGACTCTTTCATCAGTAACAGAATATGAAGTAGGAAACCTTTGCATCTAGTATCAACAGTATGTATCTTCTTTCAACCGACCACATAGAATATCTCTGTTTGTGAGAAAATTCCATGGAGTTGACTCTGCTTTAGCATCAGGTAATAGCTTCGTTCAGACAGAAAATTTTCATTTCATTTCACAAGAGAAATCTGCTTAGCACTATGTTTCTTCAACTGTTAGCACATATTCCCTTGAGGTATGTGACAGTGTCAAGAACACACTAGATAATAATAGCAGCTGTGGCAGATTGTGTCTTCTAAAGATGGCCCAGATAACATCTCCTAACTCACATATTCCTCTCATAATGCAACTCCATCCATTGAAATCTAGGTGAAATCTATATCCCCTACCCTTGAAGCTGGCGGGGCTTTTGTGACAGATTCAACAAACAGAGTACAGTGGAAGTGATGCTGCATGACTTCTGAGGCTAAGTGATAAAAGAAATTTTATTTCCACCTTGATGCTACACTATCACACTTTGAGCCCTAAGCCTCTACGCATGCAAGTTAACTGTCCTGAAGCAGCCACTCTGTGAGGAAAACCAAAAGAGTCCTCATGTGAGGACAGATGGGGAAACTCAGTCACCTCTTGAAGAGAGATGTCCAGTCAGCTTCCAGCTACTCCAGGCCCCACTGAATCAGCTACAGCCCCTCAAACCAGAACCCATCAGCCAAGCTCTTCCCAAATTCCTGACCCACAGAAATTATGAAAGAATAAATTGGTTGTTGTTCTAAGTCACTAGGTTTGGCCTTGTTACACAGCAATAGACAATTAGAATAATAGCTAATATTTACTGAGCCATAATAATAATGAACACATATTTTATTCAACTTATTGGGCATATAATATTTGTGTGCCAGGCAGTGTTTAAAGAAAATTACATGAATTAATTTAATCCTCACAAAAACCCTGTGAAGTAAATATAATATTTCTATTTCAAGACAGGAAACTGGAGCAAAGAGTGGTTTTGTAACTTTCTCAAGCTCACAGTACTAGGTGCAACCATGGGACTTAATCCTGAGAGTCCAGCTCCTGAAGTAACACTTCTATTTCATTATTTTATTTCATTATAGATGTATATTATATATAATACATATAATTGTAGTTGATATATATGCATACAAACAAATGATACATATATACCTATGAGATATATATATACATATATATCAACCACAGTTATATTATTGAATAGAACAAAAATATTCAGAATTTATTAAGATAATACACAAGACTCCAGAGAAATATCTACTTAAAGCTATTCATCCAGACTCTCTGGAAATTATGCCTCTTATCAAAGCATTTTCTGAAAACATGATTTCATTTTGTTCTGTTTGTCATCATGAACTTGCCTTTTCATTGAGGGTCATTATAAGAAATTGTGACATGAAAATCATCTCTACATAATCAATAAGAAGCAATATTGTATACAGGCCTCTCTATCACTGCATGGGTAAACACCTGTTAGAATATCACGTAAGGTACAGGATATCTAAACATGGAAATGTTATGCCTTTTTGAGGCACTTTTCTGCAATGAATTTACTTGTCTGTTTCTCTTATTTCAGGATTTGAAACATTAACTTTAATAGTCAGGTGGGATCCGAAAGTATCAAAGTATAACAAAATCCTCAGGGTTATTTATCTTCGAAATTTATATAAGAAATAAAGTATTAATTGAGAACTATTTATTTTGCATTGAAGACAACAGAGTTTAACATGCCAATTATTTATAACAAATTCTAAAGAACATGCAGCAAAATCTAAATCTTCAGTTCCTCATTACTACAGAGTTGGTGATAAACCTTAACTTCTACTCTAGAAGTTAAGTTAAGAAGCAGTCCCATCCGAATCCTCTTGAGTGGGGCTTTGTTCCAAAACAGACTCACATCTAGCATTTATGGAGCCCAAGGCAAGAGTACAAATGGAGGCCTGTGTATCATGTGTCTAAATATTTAAAATTTATAACTTATGCTGCGCCCACAGAATGGCCTGCATTCCCACCCTATAGCCACTTACAGGAGGTCACCATGGGGACCCAGAGGCAAAGGGAGTTGCATTATCCCTTAGTTCAGCCCTCCTGCCTGTGAGTGTGAGAAGCAACACAGATCTACTGGGCAGGGCAGGGTGGATATTTGCCTATTGCTTCCATTTATCCACCAAACTTTAGGACATTCTCTGTTGTTAGGCAATATATGGTGGTTTTATCCATTTCCGCAAATTCTTTGATATTTCTCCTGTCTTTGTCTGTTTGGGCTGCTATAACAAAATATCACAAACTGAACGGCTTATAAACAACAGAAACTTATTTCTCACAGTTCCAAAGGATAGGAGGTCCAAGATCAAGGCACCAGCAGATTCAGTGACTAGTGGGAGCCTGCTTCCTGGTTCACGGGCAGTGTCTTTTCACTGTGTCCTCACACAGCAGAGGCAAGAGAGCTCCCTGGGGCCTCTTTTATAAGAGCACTAATCCTTTCATGAGGGCTCCAGCCTCATAACCTAATCACCTTCCATAGGCACCATCTCCAAACACAGTTGCACTGGGGGTTAGGATCTCAACATCTAAATATTGGGAGGACACGAACATTCAGTCCATAACACCTCCCATCAAAAGGGCAGGTCTAATTCCTCTCCTCTTGAATATAGTCCAATCATAGTAACTCAGTTCTAATAAAACCAACGTCATACAAGTGACTCTGTGGGATTTCCAAGGCTAGTTCAGAAAAAAAAGTGATAACTTCCAGCTGGAGATCTGTGTGTGTGTGTGCGTGCATGTGTGCACGTGTGTGTGTGTGTGTGTGTGTCTCCCTGCTGACTCTGAAAAGTCATAGTCTCAAAGAAGCCACATGCATTTGTCTCTGGTGACAGCCCCAGTTGAGGTGTCAGCCAGTGGCCATCATCAACCACCAGACATGTGAGTGAATGAGTCTTCAGATGATTGCAGCCCAACCGATGCTGAGTGGAGCAGAGACAACTGTCCCCACAGAACTAACTCTGCCCAAAGTGCAGAATTGTGAGCAAAACTGTTGCTGTTGTTTTCAGTCACTAAGCTTTAGGATGGTTTTATAGCCATAGATAGCCAGAAAACAGTTAAATACTAGTTTTTCTAATGGCCATGTTATAATGTTAACTGTCCCAGATTTCTAAGTCAGAAGATCTGAGAATTTGAACTGAAGCTCCATCATTTACTACCGTGTGTATACATTAGCTTCTTTTCCTCTTTTACATGATGGGATGATAACCCTCCCTCAAGGATATCAAGAGTTTCAAAAGGAAAATGTATATGGAAACATATCATACAGGGCACTTCACATTTCATAAACATTCCTTGAATCCAGAACTGACAATTCCAGACATTTGTTCTCTCTTCCTTTTCTATCCCTATGGCTTTTCCAAAAGGGCAGAAAATTGCAGAAGGTTTGCCTGCTATGTCTGCATCTAAAAGTGTGAATAACTTGTACTTTATTTTTAAATTAAGGAACTATTACTAGAACGTTCCTCATTGAGAGCATTACCCACTCTTAGAATTAAGAAGAAATTGGCAGACTTTCATTTTTGAAGTCATTGAAAACCCCAGAAAGAACAATACCTACTGTGTTCCCCTGGGAGTTTACTTACGAATATGCCTTCTCCCTGAACTGAGTGCCTGAGGGGGCAAAGAGCTCCCCGGTAAAGCCCAAGATGGCTCAACTCTGTCATCTGCTCTGGGTAAGTTAGAATGCTCTGCATCCTAAAGAATGACTCAAAAACAGATTCTGACTTGAAAGGTTGACTTTTCTAGAAGCTACATTTCAGAGATAGTAAGTCCTTTATTTTTTAATTTTCTCTTAATGGTCTCTAAGTGGCATCAGAAGATGAATTTCAAAGAAGTATAATGTATTTAAGATTTCACTTACCAAACACATGCAGTAAAAGATGATAGCAAACATCTGCAGTTTCCAATCACATCACTAGCGAAGAAGCACGAAATGGTTTTAGTGAAGTGCATAATTTGGCATCCTTGCCATCAAAGGCAATTTTAAACACATAATTCAAAATGCCCATTGACAGCAGGTCCCTCTTGCTGGGTATTAATCTGCCAGGATGAATCTGGAAACATCAATGTCTCTCAATTAGAAGCATAAACTTTAAAAATGGGAAATAAAATCATGGTGGCATGAACAGGACACAGGTGGGTAATTGACAAGCCTGCATAATGTAGAAAAATCATAGGTTAGAGGAAAAGCCATAATAATAACATAAAGCTATGGGCTTGCACAGTCACTTCCCCCAAAGAGATCAAAGCCCTTTACATACACGATCTCATTAATTGCCCTGCTACCTGCCGCCAGGGCAGTGTTAGGGCAGACACCCATTGGTGGTCATTCTGTGGCCATCGGCACCATGTGTGGCAGCCTTTGTGAACCCGATTACTTTCCTTCTCTTCTCTGTAATAAAGTGTGAGATTAGTGTTAGAGTCACAGCTGGAGATCTAACACAGCTTCAGTTCTTAAACCAATTTCTGCCTTTCCCCAACTTGTCACGCTACACAGATAACTACCTAAAATATTTCCATCGACAGGTACATTATTAATGGGCTGTAACTGTGTCTCTGAAAGAGAGTTCAAAGACATCAAAAACATCTGCAAGTACTAATTAGAGACTTGCTTAACGACATGAGATTATTTCAGAGAGCAGCTTAGCTGGGGACTCATTTGTTGCTCAAGACTCCAGACATTTCAGACACTTGATTTCTTCATTCTCTTCCCACCTCTTGTTAGAAGATTATATAGAAAGATATATACATTTATAGTGCAGATAAGCATAGATTCATGAAAAACAATAAACAAAAACTATTTTTCCATCATACTAACTTTTTCTGAAATTCAGATTACCAAAGTCTTATTTCACATCTCTTTATTCATTGTATTTCAGGAAAAGATAAGCCTCTCTGAAATATAACTGTTTTTCAAATGCTACTCATTCATGTTACATCAATTGAAATTGTCAAACTACTGCACATGTTCTTTGAAAAAAACAAATTACACTGATTCAGAACCCTATTTCTATATCTACAAACCTTTCTGTATGCTAATAATTTTATTATATTGGAAGATTCTACTGGGTGAATATTTCTTTGGCAATCCATCCAAGGTACATATCTGCCACTTCGAATTCTCTTTGAAAATAAAATTTTAAAACTATGTCTGCACTGAAATTTTAAATCAATGACTTCCCTTCCAAAATATAATTATTTGAGAAAAAGCATAATAAGACATTTTAATTATCTGAAAAGTATGCACCTTGATTCTGGGGTCCATAGCTAAAGGAGAAGTGTTTCACGCAAACTTTCAGATGGTGTCTGCATGGAGCTAGTGCTTTGCATTTTTGTATAAAATAAAACAATTGGTATCCACTTGAGCTATAACAACACCCACATTTTGAGGAGAAGTGTCATTTTCAGAAGTGGACCCCTTATGAGAAAGTTGCAGAGGCACTTAGGGACAGTAATGACTAAGTTTGAGTACTCATTGATTTGATTAGTTTAAGCGCTATGTGCAGGTTTTGCATTTATACTGACATTCAGTTCCTTTTACGAGAGGCAGAGTTAAGGCTAGCGTGCCACATCTGTCTGCCAGGTCCAGCGGCTAGTTATTGAGACTCTTCCTCCTCTAAATGTGGTCCTGGGCAGCATCTTGGGTTCATTAGAAATGCAGATTCTAAGGCCCCATTGAACTAAGGCCCCAAACCACTGAATCAGAATCTACATTTTAACGTGATCCCAAGGTAATTGTTATGCACATAAAATTTGGGGAAGCACTGACTTAAAGAACTATTACAAAACTAAAGAGACTGTCTTAACGTAGCAGAAGTTTCTGTAGCAAGGTCGCATATTTGGTCCAATCTACTTTTTATCCATCAGATCACGAATCCTACCCCATGTTCCCCCTCCTCCACTTTCAAAATACGCCTTGGTCTGAGAGGTAAATGTAACATAAATATAACCAAACAGGTCCATTCTTGGTCCTCTTCTGGATTTTCAGTAATGACGTTTTCTGCCTCAATAACTGAGAAGGGAGACTTTATATCATACAAAGTGGGAAAGGAAGGCGAGTGAAGAGCTTTGGGTTCCCAAGAGGAATCTATAGTTTCTCTTTGCTTCAGACACTGTCTAGTTTTTGCTCTTCTTGATTTTAATTAATTGCTCCATCATCCTCCAGTGTGATATACTAGTGTCATCAATGGAAATGAAATGCATTTGAACTTTTTCTGCTTCTATAATATTTTATTGTCCTCATGTCATTTTACTATGGAAATGTCACCAAACTCTTATAAATATTAAATTCTAAGCAGAAGCTATAAATAAAGACAGTATCATTTTTCTGGATGTGAATGAATTCACAGAGAAATTTGACGGAATGCTCCTACTGACATTGAAACATGGAGTCAATAACAAACTGGAAAGTTCCACTAGAGTAAGAGGGATCCTCAAAGAGACCACAACCTATCCATGTGGAATTTTGCCCTCTATAACCTCAGATCACAGGAGGTAATTTTAAATGGTGAACTTTCTTATTAAAGGTATTTTAGAAACATACTGTGTTTCCAGGAAATGTTTAGTATCAAGAATCAACATTTTAAAAATATTTGGAATATGTCTCCCAGGTCATACAGGTTGTGATTAGTTCACAAAAGGCCACTATTGGTCCTATTTTTCTCAGGGTTGCTAGATATCATAAGCAGTTTTCAGGGTGGCAATTTCCAGAATTCCATAGGTCCTTTACTTCAGCCAAAGAAACTCCAATATTATCTTTACACTTTTGTTCTGGTCATATACTCCTGCTTAACTAATGTTTCCCAAACTCAATGGAATTTTTTTTAAAAACCATCAACTTTATTATGCTCACAAAATCTGTGAGTCTCAGGAATTCAGACACGGCATAGCAGGGATGGCTTCTCTCTGGTCTATGATATGTGGGGCCTCAACTGAGAATCTCACACAGCTGGGGATGACTCAAGTGGATGTGAGATGGGATCCCAGTGCCTGAGCTAGGACGGCTGACCTAGCTTGTCCACCCGAATTCCTATACGTGGCTTCTCCATGCGGGTTGGACTTCCACACAGTCTGATAGCTTCAGGGCAGTTGGGCTTCTTCCCTAGTAAGCTCAGTCACAAGAGCAAGTGTTCCACAAGGCAGCAGCTGCATGGCCTTTTACAAATCAGCCTAAGAAGTTACATAGCCTCTCTTCCACCAAACACTATTGGCTGAAGCAGTCACAAACCTGCCCAGACTCAGGGCAGGGTACATAGATGTTAACCTAATGAAAATATTCTCAATGAATTTAAGGCAATATTTTGAAATTGCCACATACTCATTAGGTTTAAGGGCAATATTTCCATTTAAGAAATGGCTCCAAAGTTAAAAAAAAAAAAAAAGCTTAAAAAAATCATTGATCAAATCCAATCCTGCTATTTTGTTGATGAGAAAAGAGGTCTTGATAGAAGAAAAATCTTCTGCTATATATTTGTTTTCTACTTTTAATTTGATCTAGGTTATATGCATTTCTCTCAAATCTAATCCCAATATTCTTAGCACTCTATCTTTTCCTGGGTAATGGTAGGCATACCCTGTCCTACGTCCCACGTGAAAGCTCCACAAAAGGTACAATGACACACTATCTTTAAGAGACTGTTTATCCATCAAAGTTACTGTCGACACCCTGAAAGAAAAATATTCTCAATAAAATTATCTATGTACATTTAAAATGTTTATTGTCCATACTCTGCATCCAGTCACTCTTATGGAATGAAACAGAATTGAAAATGTATTCAATCAGGTAAAGAAAGTATGGAAACTATGAAAGTCAGCCCTCTTCAAACATAGCAAAAGATGCAGGAAGTCAGTAACATTTCTCAAGTTCAAAATGAGGAGTAGAGAAGTTTCTTCTAAAGAAGAGATAGGAATTTCACTGCTGGAAAGAACCACAATGAAAATTACATGGGAAAGTTGTAAATCACTCCAAGACTGATAGGACATAATATAAATCTGAAATAAGGAGTTTAAACATTAATTGAAAAGTTCTGGGGAGAGAATGAGGGAAGATGGCTGCTAACGCTGGATACTGATGTTGGCTTCCCCAATCCTGGGGCCAGCACATGTACGTTACTAAGAGGCTCCAGGGGTAAGGATCGCCGGGGATGGTCCTGGGGCTGACTTCAACAGGCCAAGCAGCTTATGAAATAAGGAGTTACCTATTTATCACAAACATAGAAGTTTGAACTGCTAGTACTTGTGCATTTGAATTTCTAACACCAGGAAGAACTATTATCCTTGAATTGGGGGATTCTGGGGGTAAGAGGATGGCATCAGAATTCCATATGATGATGAACTAAGAAATGCTGTGTCTCAGATGACGACGATAAGGAAACCTTCTACTTAGGGGTGGGAGGATGTGGTTCACGTAATTTTAAGCATTTCAATTGAATGTACACACATACACATACGCACACACATTCAAATATCCATTTTCATTACAGTGTTGCAAGTACGTGCTTCAATCTAATATAAAACAGGAGTTGTAATTACTCTCTTACAAAAGGCCCATGCTTTTCATGGTGTGTGTGCGTTCGTGTGTGTGTTTGTGTGTAAGATAGGTACTTAATTATTTTTAAATGGATGCCTTAGAAAATCTACTTTTTTAGTTAAACTATTCTCTCACAGTTGTTAAAAATTTTAAAAAGACCAGCACTTCATGGTCAGTTATTTCTGATTAGGCTTCAGGCCACACCACCATGATGGGCAGAGTAAGAATCTTTCAAGAGACATTTATTCCATTAGAAAATTTTCTAATAAAAAAATGAGGAAACTTTGATGAAACTAGAATTGAAGTGAGGTACTTATAATCCATAACTAAACTAGTTGCCATAAAAATCAATGTCAAAAAAACAGATTTTAAAATTTTAGATTTTCTTCTTCAAAGCTCAAACTCTAATATGGAATCAGAGTCCGTAAAGCCTGAATTCACTATGGAGCCATTGATCAAGTTCATTAATGATGAACCAAGTATTTTTTCGAAGAAAAAAATCACATGTTAGTTCCACAGCCTTGCTTCACATACTTCCTTGAAGAGTTCCTTGACTAGAAGAATCAACATTGATTAAAGGAAATGAACTAAGCACCAAGGGTATAGTACAAGGGACCTATCTGTCCCACAGCTTTACCTACTCGTGTCAGGACGGCTTGATGAATGGTGATAAAAGAGCAGGGGAGATGTCTTAAAGATAAGTAATTGGATCAAGCGGACTAAATCAACTACTTATTTGGATGCTAATTGAATCAACTTTAAAAAAGAAACACTTTTGAGTGGCAAAATACTAAAATAATCTTTTCAGGTTATGCTCTTCTAACCCATTGTATTTTTTAAATGACTATCTTATCAAAATTTCTAACAAGATTAATCATTTCATCATGGTCCAAATATTACCCTCCTGGTGTGTCATACACAGGATCCCCATTGCTGTAAGAGCCATTGGGGTCAAAGAAATGAATTCGATCCCAAGGGGTGGAATCAGTCACAGTATCCTGCCTGATAGCTCAAAAAGGAAGACTAGACTGTTAACTCCACAAGGCCTCAGAGTAAATTGTTTTTGTTTTTGTTGTTTTTACCAATTTATGAAGGGAAAACTGCAAGTAAAGTCTAGGTAATCAAATTTTAGTACTTGACCCCATTCTTTGTTTATAACTCTTTTTCAATCATATGTATATTCCAGCTTCCCCTATAGTCCACTAAACTGGATGCTCTTCATCATGCCACATCTGAAGATGCTAGGAAGAAGGGCTGATATCAAATGACTGGCTAGGGGCCGGCCCCATGGCACAGTGGTTAAGTGCGCACATTCAGCTTCTGCAGCCCGCGATTCACTGGTTCGGATCCCAGGTGCGGACGTGGCACTGCTTGGCAAGCCATGCTGTGGTAGGCATCCCATATATAAAGTAGAGGAAGACGGCCACAGACGTTAGCGTAGGGCCAGTCTTCCTCAGCAAAAAAAAAAAAAAAAAAAGAGGAGGATTGGCAGCAGATGTTAGCTCAGGGCTACTTTTCCTCAAAAAAGAAAAAACAATCAAATGATTGGCTCCTCTAAGGCCTCCAGTCCACACCTACTCTATCTCAACTTCTGACCCAAATTCCTAATGATTTCCAACTCGCTCATGACTTCAAGACAAATACCTTTTTTACTTGAAATTTACCAACACTTCCAATATCTTAACTCCTTCAAATTCTTCTAGGCCATCAGTACCGTCATTGCTTCTCTTCCATTCATAGTCAGTGTTGACCTCAAGGTTAACCACCTGAGCTAATCCATCACCAGCATCCTTCATTCTCTCCTGCCCAAATACCTTCTAAGAAACTGGCCAGGTGAAGTCCAACACCAGCATAATGATAAACTCCTCCAACTCCAATCTAGGTAGTGGTATACTAGACATTCACAGTAATGTGTCAAATGTCATTTTGCTAAATTCCCATTCTACGATTTCAGCTGGGACATAAGAACCATCAACCAGTTTAGTCACACATCCTTTGTCAGCTCTTTTCCCATCCCTCTCAAATACCACTGTAGTCCAGTTTACTTTTTCAAGTTCCCTGCTCAGCCTCCACAAACAGTTTGCCTTGAGAAAACTAAAGCTATAATGTTTGGTTGAATAAGATTTCTAGAATGGTGGAGCGAGGTGCTTGGCAAATCCTCTCCTCAAAAAACAAGGATAAAATTGAATGAAATTATCAAAAACAAAAATTTCAGGACTCTAAAGATAGAATAAAAATAAAGCACTTTGAGAAGTGTCTACACAAGAAAAACTACTAAAGTACTTCAGATAAGACCTTCTCTGTGACATTTTAGCCTGGGGTTGCTACCATTCCTCCCCTGCCACCCACTCCATCTCTCCATTTGTGCTCAGCTATGCACAAATGGGTGGGGTAAGCCCTAAAAGTCAGAAGCTTCTCAGCCAGTAAGGACTAACTTGATATCCAACAGAACACAGAAAAATCCCCATACTCCTAGGCATTGTCAGAAAAAGTAGCAATTTCAGTGACAAATGAGCAAGGTCAATGTCAGTTAACCTGAGGTTCTGACCCTAGTTGGGGCAAACAGTAGGCAATCAGACTAGGCATAAATTTAACAGGAAATGAGACAGCCGGAGTGGGCCTTGATAGGCCGCCATATATGCCTGGTGGTCTGGAAGGCAGTGTGCACGTGCAAGGCTGCGCAAATTCTCAGGAGAGACTGGAGAAGGCAGTTATCTACTTGTCACTGGATGAATGTGAAACCTTGTGCTAGCAGAAATTAAAAGCCAGGAAGAACAAACAAACTCTGAAAATTAATTATGTCCCTCAACTCACACACAGATCCATGAATAAAGGCAGAAGCCTTAACAGCTCAAAGTCAATGAGTACAATCTCTGACTAATTATTCAGTGATGACTAAGCAATTCTGCCATGGGAGCAACCCCTATGAAGTCAGGTTTAAAAATAAAAGTAATAAGGAAAAAGAAAAAGTGTTGGCAGAGACATCAGAGGTCACACACTGTGGGGCAAGACAGACTCCAGAAAATTAGTCCAAACAAATCATTAACCAATAAACAAACAAACAGAAGCAACACCCAGAGAAAAACCAAATTCAAATTTTCTATTATATATTATTTAAAACTGTCCAGTTTTCAACAAAAACTTATGAGGCCTGCAAAGAAACACAAAAGTGTTACCTATACACAAGAAAAAAAGTGGTTAAGAGAAACTGTCTGGGAGTGGGAAGTGTGCAAAATGGTGAAGGGGGTTAAAAATGTACAAACTTCCAGTAAAATAAATAAGCCTTAAAAAAGAGAGAAAAAACTGTCTACTAAGGGATCTAAATATTGTACTGAGCACAGAAAGATGTCAAAGAAACTACTGCAAACAAGTTCACAGAACAAAAGAAAATCATATGTATAAATTAAGGGAAAATATAATAACAGTGATTCATCAAATAGAGAATGCCAATAAAGACATAAAAATTGTAAAAAAGAGAAAAAAAGGAAATTTTGGAATTTAAAAGTATAATGATAAAAATTGGCACTTCCAGTTTCCACTCCAACATGTAAACAGCTTAGAAGTCATAACTACCATCCTCATAACAAGAAGAAAGCTGAAAAACTAAAAATCAACTAAAAAACTAAATCTCTTCTTATATTCATCAGAGAAGTGAGGTCACTGGGCAAATTGCTGCTGTAAAACCTGGAAAGCTTGGAGAATACAGCTTACCAGGAGCAGAAGCCACTGGAGCCAGGAACTGGTAGGAACACTAAGACCTGTAAATGACAAATTTCTGGAGCTTGAGTGTGGACTAGTTTTACAGTTAAAACTCCTAAGTGCTCAGTCTTCAGGGAGCCTCCCTATATTGATGAGTTTTACCTCTAAGAACCCCACCAGATTCCCACTTGTGAAGACTAGAGAAAAATGCCCATATACTTCAAAAAGAAGAGAAAAATCACCATTTTGAAATACACCCAAAGTGATCTGTTCTTGAGTTTTTCCTCAAGGAAAACTACTTCATTAGAATCTTATCTGACCTAAGGAAGGGCAATAAGCCAACTTTATCCCCTTTTAACATTCCTGTTTCACACATGTAGAGTCAAAAGAAAAGGCTAAGAAACTCTTCTGAAGGTCATGGTTCAGGGACACTGGCCTAATCTTTTTAATAAATGAAGATTTAATCATAAGAGTATAGAATGCTTTCCCTTCCCTAATATCTTATTATCTCATCAACAGAGTTCAAGTATAATAACAGTAAACTGCAACTGAGAGAGGGGCAAGACGAAGACTGTATTTAAGAGGGAGTTTCTAGAGAAAGACGACAGGAGAGACGAAAACAAGGACACTAGAGTAAACTGAAGCATCTAATACCTACATTACGGCAAACATTAAATGCAGCCTAACTCCTAGCCAAACAAACATAAAACATCACACTAAAGATCTATTTACCTCAGTTCCTAACACATCCTGTCTGAATTTCAACAAAAAATTACAAGGTATACTTAAAGGCAAGTAAAAAGCAGTCTGAAGACACAAAGCAAATATCAGAAACTAACTCAGATATGGCAGAGATTTTTTAATTATCAGACAAGGAATTTAAAATAACTATGATTAATATGGTAAGGGCTTTAATGGAAAAAGTGGACATAAAGAACAGATAGGTAATGTAAGCAGAAAGATGAAAACTCTAACAAAGAATCAAAAGAAAATGCTAGAAATTCAAAACGCTTTCAGAGAAATGAAGAATGTCTTTGATGGGCTTATCAAAGGCTAAACATGAACTGAATATCATTGAGGAAAGAATCAGTGAGTTTTAAAATAGGTCACTAGAAATTTCCCAAACTGAAATGCAAAAAGAAGATAAAAAAATGAAATGGAATGTCCAAGAACTGAGGAACAATTAAAAAGGTATACTGTATATGTAATGAGAATATCAGAAGGAGAAGAAAGACAGAAAGGAGCAGAATAAATAGCTGAATAATGGCAAAGAATTTTCCAAATTTAATGAGAGCATCAAACCACAAACCCAGGAAGCTCAAAGAACACCCAGCAGGAAAAATACAGGGGGAAAAAAAACAACTACACCTAGTCATATCATATTCAAAATGCAGAAAACAAAAGACAAAGAGAAAAATCTTAAAAGAAGCCAGAGGGAAAAGAATACCTTATCAATAGAGGAAAAAGGATAAGAATTATATTGAACATCTTTTCAGAAATCATACTAGCAAAGACAGAGTGGACCAAAATATTTAAAGGGTTGAAAGAAAAAACTCACCAAACTACAATTCTATATCCAGCCAAATTATCCTTCAAAAGTGAAGGAAAAATAAAGACATCTCAGACAAACAAAAACCGTGGAAATTTCTCTCCAGTAGATCTGCATCACAAGAAACGTTGAAAGAAATTTTCAGAGAGAAGAAAAATGACATAGGTCAGAAACTCAGATATACATGAAGAAAGGAGAGCATTAGAGAAGGAATAAATGAATGAAACATTTTATTTCCCTTGCCTTTGGTTGATCTAATAGATAACTGTTCAAAATAATAGCAACAATGAATTGGGAGGTTATAGCTTATGGATTAGTGAAATGAAGGACAGCAATGTTGTAAGGAACAGAGGGAGGAATTGGAAATACTCTGTTATAAAGTACCTGCACCACCCTTGTAGTAATACAGGGTTATTTGAAAGTGGATTTATATTAATACTCTCTATATGTTGTAATTTGCGTTATGTAATATACATATATACATATATATATATATAACGTATGCTCCTCTCTAGGGAAACTGCCACAAAAAGTTTTTTAAAGAAGTATAATTGGTATGCTAAGAGAAGAGAGAAAAGGGAATCACATAAAATGCTCAGTTAAATTCAGAGAAGGCAGAAAAAGAAGAGAAGATAACAAAGAAACAAAGAACAAGTGGAACAAATATAAAACAGTTACAAATAAATGCACCAAATAAAAGACAGACGTTGACAGAGTGGATTAAAAAACAAAACAAGACACAACTATATATTGTCTATAAGAAATCCACTTTAAATATAAAGAAAAAGACATATTAAAGTAAAGAGATTGAGAAAGATATACCATACCAATACTGATCAAAAGAACACAGAGTAACTGTACAGTTTCAGAAAAAGCAGACTTCAAAAAAAGGAAAAGTATAAGTGATAAAGGAGGGATTACATAATGACAGAGAGGTCAATTCTCCAAGAAGGTATAATAATCCTTAATGTGTATGTGCCTAACAGCACAGCATCAAAATATGTGAAGCAAAATCAAATAGAACTGCAAGGAGAAAGAAATAAGACCACTATTATAGTCGAGACATATCTCAATCAGTAATTGACAGAATCAGCAGGCA